AAAAACTTTCTACATAATTCTTCAGGCCTATAGTTGGCTTGTCTACCTATTCTTAATATTTTCTATATAATTCATCTATAGTCATATTTCCCTTTTCAATTGTTCTATATATTATATTCCGAAGCTCCTCTTCTACTATAGGAAAATAAGTTTTTAACCACCATACGGCTTGACCAAAACGAATTCCAAGTACAATTACAGTATTACTAGCATTAGCATTTGGTACATTTGGTGCATTATTAGTAGATCAGCTCTGCTATATGCTAGTCTTCATTCCAAGGACCTTCTACAGCTCTTAACTTAACTATTGCATTTTCTGGTTGATTAAGGGCCTTATTTATTCTATTAGCTCCTATCTGAATAGCTGTAAATCCATTTATAGCTACTAAGTTAGCTTGTCTTGTATTATCAAGTAAGTTTGCTAATTTTCAATTTTGCTTTGTAGTAATCTTTTCATTAAACCATTCTAAAGTTCTTCTTTTCATACAGCCTCTTAAATATCCTATTGCTACTTCTCTTCTTGTTGGTGGACCTCCCGCATTATCTGCTAGATCTATACTTTGGTTTTGCAAATATAATCTTAGTTTTACAAGAAAATCTGAGATATCATCACCCTAGTCAAAAAATGGTTGTGATATTCCTGCCATATTTCTTCGATTTTGTTAATTATTATGTAGCACCAAAATTTGTTGATTTAAATTTAAATTATTCTGGCATTCTGCATGAGTTTTATTTTTCTATTTGGTGTATTAATTATTTGTAAGATTTAGAAGATATATAGTAATTGCTCCATCTGTTCTACAATCTTATAGTTTGCTGATACAATAAGGGTAGTGACAGATATTATATAATATCCTGAGGGGTAGCTAAAGATAATATTATATATAGATATTTTATATATGATCATATATAATGTGGAGGGGAGGAGGATACCCCCCTGATAAAATGATATTATATAATATATGTCATAGCCCTAACTGGAAGACAAAATTTTTACATAGCAATTCACTAATATAGGTTTGTTTTCTTGCTATATTATCTATCATTCTATTCACTTGGTTTTGTGTATTAGTCCATAATTGATAAAGATCAAGCAATGCCTGATCTCGCTTTTGTTTGTATGTATCCCGGTTCTATTATTCATTTACCAGATCTTGTTGCAGATTAGTGTATTTATGTCAAATTGCCCTAGTTGATCTTTTAATTTGATTTGTTAAAATGGTTCTATATATTGTTGTATTTTCTAGAGATCAGTCTATAGCATCGGCCAATTCAGCTATTGTACCCATATTATTATTAGAATTATACAAGTCTAGAGAATTTTCATCAGAATCAGATTCATTTTCACCAAAATTCTATGCTTGTACATTTTGTAAAACCTCTTGTGTATTTCTAAGTTCTAATCTATCTTGATATCTTAATAATACTAATGCAAAATTTTAACAAAGCAGGTCTATAATACGATTTTTTTGCTGATTTATTTTATTAATTCTATTTATTTAATTAACTCTTATTGTATTTATTTCTCGTTTAAGGTGTTCATTTTCATCTACTAATCTGGTTGTATAGTCTTGTGCTTTAGATGTATTTTTAGCTGATTTAGATATCTTCCATATTTGGTTTTTTAATTTTGTCTCTCATTCATCGAATTCAATTATTAACTCATTCTTGTTCGAAATTTCTTTATCTTTCTTTTATTTTCTTCCTTGAGTTGGCAAACGATTCTTTTTAATTTTGAAATTTCTTCTAATAATTCTTCTTTGTCTTGTCTAGAAAGTTTGATAGTATTATTTAGCTCTTCTTCAAGAAACTGTATTTTTTCCTTCCATATGCTAATAATTTTTTCTAAGATATATAGATACTGTTCGAAATTTCTATTTGATTCTGCTAATTGTGATACTACCTCATGGAGTTCTTGATCACTTTGTTGTAATTCCTTCATATTTTTTTACTATAGTATAATGGAAAAACCTTTGATTTATATCGATCACAAAAAGCTTATGAACTTGATCAAGAAATCACTAAGAGTAAAAAAGTTAAAGATCGAAATTTGGCATTACAAAGATTATATTATCGTCCTGAAGGTTACTATCAGACTGCTGAAAAAATACGAGATGCTTGTAAGAATGCTAGATATAATTTTCTCTTTACAGAGATTAAAAATTGGCTAAATAAGCAAATATTATATTAGATTCATAAGCTTCAGCCAAAATTTATTCAGTATGCTTCTTTCAATAATATACAAGACCTAAATGATATGCATCAATTTGATACTACACTATTTTCTTATTGTAAAATAGGCAATCAAATTTATAAGCATAGGCTTGTAATAAAAGATGTAGCTACTAGGTTTCGTCGTAGTTTTGCTTTAACTAATAAATCATCTGCACAAGTGGCCAAAGCATTTCAAAAAATTTATAATGATCCTAGTTGCTCTCTTATTTGGCCAAATATTTTAATCATTAATAGAGGTACTGAATTTTTGGGCGAATATAAGGATTTATTACTTAGTCATAGCATAAAAATTCAGTATGCTTACTCTAAACATAGTGTTGCTTTTGCTGAATGTAACTATCAAGAATTTGAAAAGCATGTCTATATTTAGCAAGATGCAAAGGATTTTTTACTTTTCTTATCTAAAAGATCTAGAGATTGGGTTAAGAGTCTTCATATTAATGATGATATATTTAATAATACTCCAATCTGATTAATAGAAATGTCCCCTAATAAAGCTATAAAAGAGCATTAAAAGGAAAAAAAATAATAGCTAGACCTTTGGTAAAATATAGAAGACCAATTGGTTATAATGAACCGCTTTTATCTAGTTATACAGAAGTTTGCCATCTTTTAGAACCTGGTAAATTAGAAGGTAGAAGAAGAAGGGCTACTGATTGCAATTGGTCTTCTGAAGTTTTTATAATTGATTCTTATTTAATAAAAGGAAATCAACCTATTCTCTATAAGCTTTATAATAGTTCTAGACACTCTTTTGTAAGAGAAGAACTACAAATTGTTCCACCAGATACAGTAGTACCACCCAAATATATTCTTAAATATTAAACTTTTCTTCTCTTTCCTCCACTTGGTATAAAATTTGTTCAAAGACATTGCTTAAATAATCATCTATTTCTGCTCTATTGTAGACTATAATTTGCTTATTTCTAAGCCAATCAGTTTGTGAATTCTTTTTTTCTAATGCATTATCATTTCCAGGTTTATCATCTATAAGAAATTTGATAAGAGAACATAGAGAAAACTTAAATTGCCCATGCTTGTCAAATTCTTTTCAAATATTGCTCTAAACTGTTTTCTTTGGCTTTCTAACATTTTTCATATATCACTTTTGTTATCTAAATGAGATTTGGGAACTTTTGCATGATGTATAGCTATGGCTCTTCTTTTAACTGCTATACCTATTTCTTGCTCTCTAAATTCTAAATCCTTCTCCGGTTTTTCTTGTTCCTCCTTGATTTCTCCTAATCGCTCAAATTCTTTATTAATCAAACTCTTAGATTTATTACTTTTTCTAATAGCTTGTGTTTTAGATTCTGGACTATTTTCTAATTTCTTTTTTGTCAATAGTCTAACTGCTTCTGGATTATACTGCTCAAGATCATGGCAGAGAAGCATGCATTGATTTAAGTCTTCTGGTCTGTCACAATCTCCTAGATCAAGTTTTTTCTATTTTCTTAGCAATCTCACTCCTCATGTTCTAAAATGCTTATCAGGCTTTTGAGCATTTGGATTAACCTATCTTTTTGCTTCTTCTTTGCTAATAACGTGAATATTCTTGTTATTCACACTAGAGGTTTCTATCTGTGGTTTGAGCTTAGAAGCTTAGATAGCCTTTTGAATAGACTGTTAGTTAGCTTCTTGAATAGGTGCTTGAATAGAAGCTACTTCCTTCTGCTTTTGTAATGATTTGCATAGATTTTTTTATTTTATATATTCACGAAGTTTTTGAGGTGTTGAGTATTTATAACCGCAATGATTACAGATTATAATTTTCTTATCATATCTTGATTTTCTAACCATGATGTTTGCTCTAATCGTCATACTATTATTTGTTTATAAAATTTTTTTCTTTAATTAATTATTTCCTATTCTTTTCACTTTTTGATCCACCTTCTTGATCTTTGATCTGTGGAGTAATAAATTTGAAAAAATATATTAGTTAACTATATATCTTTTTTTGAGCTTGCGAAAAAAAGTGAATAGGATTGCCAGACTCTTTCTAGGCTATTATAGAACTGAAGCATTAACTAATTATTATTAATCTTTTTTAATTTAGCGATTATAGAATGATTGGTAAATATTTTTGTCCATATCTTAGCAACTCTGGAAAGGCTTGTAGAAGAGCTTGCATTCATCCTGAAGGATACCAGTTCTATTGGAAAGCTAAAATATGTGTACTATACTCTGATTGTAAGAAACCTATGGCTTCTGCTTGTGGCTGATACCTATTATATATTAGAGGCTATTATGTTATTCAATATTATGATAAACTACACAACACAGTTGTACGAAGGTAATAGAAAGATCATTTTGGTTAGCTTGCACAAAATCTATTCTCTAAACCAAAAGGTCTAGAGACAATTCTGCAAATTTTTCTGAATTTTTATAGGTAAGTATTAAAGTTATTTTTTGTTAGACTTATAAAATTCCTGGTAGGGCAGAATGGTTAGATTTAAATAAATAATATATTAGTTAGGAAGAGTTAGCTAATACGAAGCCAATTTTTGATATATTTTTATTAGACTCATTAAATTTCTAGCAGAGCAGAAGAAAAAATTAGAACAAAATCCTTGTTAGACTTATTTAATAATTTATGCTATTTATTGCTCTAGCTTGTATAGAAGCTATTCTTGTTTATAAAAAAGTTCGTTAGATTTAAAAGGATCACATGATACATAATATGCTAATTAATGTATAGATCTTTTTAAAAGCAATTCTTGAATAGTTAGAGATATTTATAAATAAATCTAATGAATCTAAAATCGTTAATAAATATAACTAAAAAAAATCGATATAATTTCAAGGCTTTTAAGAGCCCAGAATATATTTCTGATATATTTATAAATTGTTAGACTTATTTATAAGGTAATAAAAACTGTTAGACTTATTTTTATTAGACTTATTAAAATAATACTTCTAAGCTCTTAAAAGCTCTTCTAGATATGTATACAATAAGTTTGGGGTTTTGGGACAAAACTGTTAGACTTATTTTTTATTAGACTTATTTATGGAGTAATAAGGACCGTTAGACTTATTTTTGTTAGACTTATTTCTAAATATTAAAATAAAGCTTCTAGAGCTGATAGAAACTCTTCTAGATATGCATACAATAAGTTTGGAGTTTTGGGACAAAACCGTTAGACTTATTTTTTGTTAGACTTATTTATAGGGTAATAAGGACCATTAAACTTATTTTTGTTAGACTTATTTCTAAATATTAAAATAAAGCTTCTAGAGCTGATAGAAACCTTTCTAGTGATGCAAAATAAATCTAACGGTTTGAAACAAACCATTAAACTTATTTAAAAATAAACAAATTGAGCTTCTATAGACTCTTAGAAGGCTTTCTAGAAATAGTTAGATCTATTCTGTCTCAAAAGCCCCAAACTAACATTGTATTCAATACTTGCTATAGGAAGCTTCCCGACCTAGAGCTAATTTACCTTTGAGATAAACTTGCTAAAGTTTTCTATACTACAATTCGGCTAATCTAAGCTTCAGTAACTTATGTCGAGTCCGAAAACAAGTACTTGCAAGCTGAAGCTGCTATTGTTACCTACTTTTGCTCTTATATAGTTTACTCAAACCCTAGTACCACTTTACAGACTATTAAGAGTACTCTCTGAATCTCAAACTACCAATTCAGATAGCACGGGAGTGACTTTTACCTGAAAGTTACTAGTCTTCTAGTAATCGCAAATTAAGCAGATTCTTTTTTTCCAGTTCTGGCGATCTAGTTGGTAGAAGTGCTTTCTCAAACATTTTATCTATTCGGTTTTCTCGGTTTGACCTAGCTATTTCAAACTACCAATCCCGATAGCCCAGAAGAGACTTTTATCTGAAAGTTATTAGTCCTCTGGTAATCGCAATTAAGCAGATCTTTTTTTTTTGACCCTGGTGACCTAGTGCTTTTGCTATACACCTCGGTCTTATTCAATTTCTGGTTTTTTCTAGTAATAACCTTTTACATAGTATCATCGAAAATTTGTGCTATTTCTTTACTTGGGTCTTGCCAAGCAGGTATCTGTAACTTCATTCTTTGGCTTTATACGGATTACTGGCTGATAATCTTTCTAGATATAGAATATTTGATACAACCTTGGTTACAGATTAGCAATCCAACTTATCATTATAGTAACCGTTTTACAACAAAAAATTCAAATTTTGTCAACAGTGGGATTTAAACTCTGGATGTGCTGCTTGGAGATACAACAACTTCACTACTTTACTAAGTTGCTACACCCTTATCACAAATTTGTTTTGGTAATACAAGAATCATAACATATAATAAAAAATAAACAAAAAAAAATGTGACAAAAACTATGTGACAAAGATAAACAAATCATAACAAGCAATAATAATAAATAATATTAATATAGTTTGGGAATATACCAAATTTGGGGGACATCTAAAGCGGAGGCAAATCATGTGATCAACCGCCAATCAAATTATAGAATTTTGATGATCGTCGGTGAAGCAAAACAAAAAATAAAAACCAAAAACTCGAAAAATACAAAAAACGGCCGTCTAAACCTACCTCGGGTAAGTTA